AGCTCCTGCCGGAGATGACCGCTTCCCGCTTTCGGAGTCTGATCGGCCACCGGAGCCACGCAGGCTCGGGCCGCACAGCGGGCGTCTGGGGCGCGTGTGCACTCGGAAGCGGCCGACGATTACGCCATCAAGCCAACTAACTTGTGCAGGCCCCCTTAACGCATCCGGCGATGTTGAGAGTGCCTTTGTTGTGCTTTGCTGCCTTGAGCCGCAGCCTCTCTTGGCGCTCGGGCCGAGTGCAGTGGCACGCTCGCAGCCACCGCAGCCTCCGCCTGCTGGGCTCAGGCGAGCCTTCAGCCTCAGCCTCCCAAGTAGCTGGAACTGCAGGTGTGTGCCCCATGCCCGGCTGACTTCCTGATTTACTGCAGAGACAAGGTCTCACCAGGTTGCCCAGCCTGGCATCAGACCCCTGGACTCAGGCAATCCTCTCACCTCCGCCTCCCAAAGTGCTAGGATCACGGGTGTGAGCCACCCCGCCCAACCTGAATATTATTTGGCATGCCATATTTAATACAATGTTTGGGGATAATTGCGATTTTACGGTTGCTGATCAAAAATTTCTTGATTCCGCAGTTTTTCACCGAATCTTTTATTTCTGTATGATTGGAGAGAACGGCAGTATCCATTTCCAGAGAATCAGTAAGTGCTTAGACTGAGGATGTCTTTCTTTCGTGGCCTCAAGCAGTCCAATATCGTCTGCATCGAGGAGCCAACCTAACATGCTGAGGCAGGTGAGGCTGGGCAGTCGCAACACACACTGACTCAAAGCCTTGACTGTCACGGCCTGAGCTTTGGTACATTCGGTGAAAAGCCTGGAGATACTCAACTCCTGCAGGTTTGGCAGGTTGTCCAGTATTTGAAAGAAATTTCTGTATCCTTCCTCTGTAACCTCGTGATTGAGCGAAAGATTTAATTTCTCAAGTTTCTGGAAGTCTCCACGGGCTGCTGCCTTGGCTACGAAAAACATCCATCGAAAGAGAATCGTAAGGACTTCTGGTGAAATCATGGTAGACTAGGTTATCCGAACCGAACACCACCGTTGCCACTGAAACTAGGACACGCGGAGCCATAAAGGGCCACATCGTGAGCTCCGCAGCCCCTTGAATGGACTGAGAGTCTGTGATACCGAGGGGTCTATCACGGAAACAAAGGGCAGAGGACCACATGTTCTCGCTCGGAAGCGGACCCTGAACAATTGTAATGCTATAAGAAAGGGCTTGGCAGTCGGTGGAGTCTGCCTGGGGAAGGAGGGGCACACCTCATCAGCAAGGGTCCCTGCCTCATGAACCCTTGGGTTCCTAACCCTGAATTGTACCCCACATCCTTAAAATTAGAAATTAGAAAAAAAAAGGAAAGTAGGAATGCCCAGTGTAATTTCTTTTTTGAGACTGGGTCTTGCTGTGTTTCCTGGTCTGGTCTTGAACTTCTGGGCACAAGTGATCCTCCTGCCTCAGCCTCCCGAGTAAGTGGGAGTACAGGCATGTGCCACTGTACTTGGCGCAAGATAAAATGTTAAAAGCATCTCCTGAAAAGCCCCAAAGAGCTGATGAGTTAGCCTGGGCAACATAGGGAGACCCCATCTCTCCAAAAAAAAAAAAAAATTTAGCTGGTTGTGATGGTGCTACTTAGTCCTAGCTACTTAGGAGGCTAAGGCGGGAGGATTGCTTGAGCCTGGGGGGTCACGGCTACAGTGAGCTATGATCACACCACTGCACTCCAGCCTGGACAGCAGAGTGAGACTCCAACTCCAAAAATAATAATTGTCATTATACCAGTTAATAGACATAAGAGCAGAAATAAATGAAAAAATGGAGAATAGAAAAAACTTTAAAATAAATAACTTTTAAAAATAGTTATTTTTAAATTTTTTTAGAGGCAGAGTCTCACTCTGTTACCCAGGCTAGAGTGCAGGGGCGTGATCATAGTACTGCAGCCTCGACCTCTGGGGCTCAAGCCGTCTTCCCACCCCTTCTCCCAAGAAGCTGGGCTATGGTTGCAAACCACCACGCCCTGCGGTCGTGGTCGATTTTTTTTTTTTTTTTTTTTTTTGAGTTGGAGTCTCACCCTGTCACCCAGACTGGAGTGCAGTGGCCGGGCAGCCTCGACCTGCTGGGCTCCAGCGATCCTTCTGCCTCAGCCTTCCAAGGAGCTGGAACTACAGGCGCACTACCACGCCTGGCTGATTTTTTGATTTATTGTAGATTAAGTATCGCCAACTTGAATGGTCTCGAGCCCGCGGGCTCAGGCCATTCACTCACCTCAGCCTCCCAAAGGCGCGGGATTACAGGCTGAGCCACCGAGCCAGGCCATGGTCGATATTTTAATCTGGGCCATTGTTACCCAGGTCTGCGTAACAAAATGTTCCGGTATGTTCACTTGAAAATTCACTGAGCCATACACTTAGGATTTTTGTACTTGTCAGTATGTATATTAACCTTCCATTTTAAAAAGGAGTAATTTGGAGGATGTGTGGCCAGCTCTCTGAAACACAGGTGTCAAGAACGCAAGATCTGGGTGCTGGTGTAACCTCAAGTGGGGACTTTTTTGTGCTTCCAAATCTGACCAGAATGAACCTAAACCCACAGGACACTAGAGGGAACATTATGATAGGAAAAATGAGGAAGAATGTTGAACATTTTCGGAGGGGCACTTTTTTTTTTTTATGTCTTTTTAAAAATCATGTAGAAATGATGTCTTGTTATGTTGCCCAGGCTAGTTTTGAACTCCTGCCCTCAAGCGATCCTCCCACCTTGGCCTCCCGAAGTGCTAGGACTACAGACATGGGTCACCGCACCCAGCCAGAGGGACACCTGTTCTTCAAAGACAGTTTGTAGCAGAGAGCTTGACTAATAGCACCGGCTTCCGTGCAAGCGGCAACGCTTGAGCTCACCAATTTCCATCACGCTGTCATCAGTCAAAGTCCTGATGAACAAGAGGACTCGGAGACACGGAAGCTGGTGACACTGCTGGATGATCAGTTTGGCCACGCGGCGGATTCCGTCCCCTGAAGGCAGGCTCAGTTCTTCCAGGTTATGAAGGGAACCTAGAATGTGGGCTGTCAGAAAAGACCAGAACGCTATTCTCTCTGTGTTGTTTTTGTTCCCACACAACAATCATCCACGGCCCCCAAAATCCCGCACAGTCCAGGAAGGCCTGTGTGGCATGAAGGCCACTTTCCTCCTCCTCTCCGCGGGCATGAGCAGGGTCCGCACACACCTCGGTGCTCATCTGCCCTCCGACCAATCTCTCCCGCACTGAGTCCAGGCGGCCTGTGAAACTCCATTTCCAGGCTGGGCACAGTGGTTCACGCCTGTAATCCCAGCCCTCGGGGAAGTGGAGGCGAGAGACTTGCCTGAGCTCAGGGGTGCGAGACCCGCCTGGGCAACTTGCCGAGACCTCATCTCTACAAGAAATCAAAAAATTAATCGGGCGTGGTGGCGCACGCCTCTAGTTCTGGCTACTTGGAAGGCTGAGGCGGGAGGATCTCCTGAGCCCGGCAGCTCCAGGCCGCGGAGGCCCTGAGTGTGCCACTGCGCTCCAGCCTGGGCGACAGAGTGTGACTCCGACTCAAAACAAACACACAAACAAAAAAAATCCATTTCCTCTTTTATTTTATTTATTTGATTTGATTTGATTTTTTTGAGTTGGAGTCTCACTCTGTCGTCCAGGCCGGAGTGCAGTGGCATCTCACGGTCACCCCAGCCTCGGCCTGCTGGGCTCAGGAGATCCTCCCGCCTCAGCTTTCCAAGTAGCTGCAGCTACAAGGTGCCCGCCACCATGCCCAGCTAATTTTTTGATTTATTGTAGAAACAAGGTCTCCCCAAGTTGCCCAGGCTGGTCTTGATCCCCTGGGTTCAGGCAATTCTTTCGTCTCCGCCTCCCAAAGTGCTGCGATTACAGACGTGAGCCACCACGCCCAGCCTTCTTTTTTTTGCTTTTCCAGTTCTGTCACCCAGACTAGAGTACAGTGGCATGGTCCAATATTTCCAATTCTGATCCAACACCTCAAAGTTCTTTCTCTTTTTTTTTTTTTCTGAGTTGGAGTCTCACTCTGTCGCCCAGACCCGAGTGCAGTGGCCGCTCCCGGCCACCGCAGCCTCGACTTGCTGGGCTCCGGCGATCCTTCCGCCTCAGCCTTCCAAGGAGCTGAAACTACAGGCGCGAGCTACCACGCCCGGCTAATTTTTGATTTATTGTAGAGATGAGGTCTCACCAAGTTGCCCAGGCGGGTCTCGAACCTGTGGGCTCAGGCAATCCACTCACCTCAGCTTCCCAAAGGCGCGCTTCCCAAAGGCACCGGACGACAGGCTGAGCCACCGATCCCAGCTCAAAGTTCTTTCAAGTCTCCCCTGTCAATACGTGTAAATGTCTTCTCCAATAGTGAGGAAGTTGAGTCTCTGTACTCACTGGACTTAACCACCCGCTGAAGCAGAGCAGCTAGCAGAGTTCAGACATAGACGCGTTTCTTGTAGGCAAGCACAGCTCAGATCACTCAAAGACCAGCTGGTCTGTTTTACAGTGTGATGAAGTTTCTTCTGGAAAGACACCATGCTCCACCGCCTCTGGTAACCCGCCACCCCCCCCCCCCCCGTCTTGTTGATGGTTTCTGTAACTAGGTGTACCCACGGCCCCGCATTCTGGGGTTGGGGCTGGGGGTGCAGGTATTGTTTCAGAGAGTTCTGTTCCAATCAGTCCGCACTCAGGAACAACTACCTACCGGAAGGAGCCACTCTGAGGATATTGCTTTGCATGAGATCAAGTATAATGAGCGCTGAAGACAATCGTTCTGGCGTTTGGGGGGCAGAAATGGAGGGCCACTGTGCCTCCCGCCCAGCGAGAAAGGGAAGCCAAGGAACATCTTGCTTTATTGTGGGTGATTCAGAACAGAAGAAGAAGGCGGGAAGAGAATAAAGAAAAAGTAAGAAGCACCGTTTCGTAAACATACCAAATTTTTCAGCTGTTTCCTCACCAGGAATGTATTGGTATTCAAGATTTAAGACCTTCAGAGAAATGAAATTTGGCAAAACGGCAACTATGAAAGGGAAAATGAAAATGCAGTCATGTCACTGCATCTTTTACAGTAAAGAGTAACAGCTTTAAAATAAAGAGTATTTATAAAGTGATAGAAACTAATACAAAAATTCAGATTGAATTTATGACTAAGTAGATAAAACCAAACTTTGCTCAGAAAATAATTCTGATAACTGGAAATATTTAAAATTCTGGAAACAAATACACTTTATGAATTGAGAAATTCATTTGAGATCAGATATCGGTAGCCACTGTTTTGTTCTTTGACATCAATTGCATTTTTTAAATGAGGCTTGATGTGACTGTCTACAGAAGCATCTTAAACCACAATTTTAAGATTATAACTCTTACCGAATGGGTTGGCGTCAAAGCAATGTCCAGAAAAATTAAGTTCTTTGAGTTTTTTGCAGGAAGCTAGTACAGTCATGAGAGACTTAAAATCCGAAAGGAAATTACATTCCAGATGGAAGGTATGAAGGTTTGGAGAATTCTGAATCAATTTGACTGTAAAATATCAAGGATTTTCAGAAGTTAGAAAATACTGCCATTTGCTATCAGAATCAGCCATGTAATTTATTATTCTGTTTCAGTAACACTGAATTAAAACACGGCACCACCATGTAATGATCTAAGAATCAGGCCACTCTGGGCTTAGGTTCAGATTCGGCAACTGACCAGCAAGCAACAGGAACTTGGGCAAATCATTGACCCCCTGGGGACTGGTTCTCTCATCTATAAAATGTGGATATTGATTTAATAAAGTCACCCGGAACTTTAATACCCTAATATCTCTAAGTTTGTACATGACACTTGCACAGTAAGAATCCTATGCAAAGAAACAGAAAAGGAATGACAGCTCTGAAGCAAAATCTAAATTCGATGCAAAAATTGCTGACAAATATTACCGCCGCCAGCTTCGGTGTCAGCAAATATTTTGTGTGCGACTCTGCCTGTCAATTTCTTCGAGTTTTACTTTACTGTTTCTTTTTAACTTAAAAACAAAATAAATTTATTCTCACACAGTTTTGGAGGCCAGAGTCTGAAATCAAGTTGTTGGCAGGGTTGCACTCCCTCTAAAAGCTCTATGAAAAAAATGCCCTTTTTGCCTCTTCCGGCTTCTGGTAGGTGCTGGCGTTCCTTGATTTGTGACTATATTTCTTTAACCGTTGTCTCTGTGTCACATTGCTTCCTTCTCTTCTTCTGTGTCCTGTCTTCTGTCTGTTTCAAATCTCTCTCTGCCTTTTAATTTATTTGTAATTTTAAAGATGTGGGGTAGAGTTTTACATTTCTTCAGTCTTTAGTGTTCCGTGTTTACTAAACTAAGGAATCGATGGAGCCTGAGTCATTTTGCTGAATGCTGTATTTAAGGAAGATGGCTGCACAAGATCCCATCAACCACAAGGATAAGCTGGTGAGGAACATGAGTAGTTTCCAAGGGCTACCTATCAGCGCATTTCTTTCTACTTAGCTGGCAGGTCTGTAAATTGCAATGTAAGAGAAACTAAACAAAAACAAAAAAAGGCAACTCTCCAAATTATTTTGGAGAGTCAGTATAACAAGGGTGAAGAGCTCAGATGAGGGGAGCAAAATTCCTGTGTCTGAGTCACAGATCTACATTTCCTTAGCTGGATGACTTGAGCAAATGACTTAACCTCTTTCTACCTCCATTTTCCCAGTAGTAATAGTACCTTATCTCATAGGCTGGGTGTGAAGATTAAATAAGTTAATTTTTGTGACGTGCTTAGGACAATTCCTAGCATGTGGTAAGGGGTCAAACATCAGATAGCTCTCTGTTTTCTTAAGGAGAAAGAGTGCTATTCTGGCCAAGCATGATGGCTCACGCCTGTAATCTCAGCATTCTGGGATGCCAAGGCAGGAGGATTGCTTGTGCCCGGGGGTTTGAGATCAGCTTGGACAACACAGTGAGATCTCATCTCTTTTTTTTTTTTGAGTTGGAGTCTCACTCTGTTGCCCAGGCTGGAGTGCAATGGCACGCTCACGACCACTGCTGCCTCCACCTGCTGGGCTCAGGCCATCCTTCTGCCTCAGCCTTCCAAGTAGCTGAACCACAGGCATGCGCCACCACACCCAGGTAATTTTTAAATTTTTATTGTAGATATGAGGTCTCGCCTTGTTGTTCGGGCCGGTCTCAAACCCATGAGCTCAGGCAGTCCTCCCACCTCCACCTCTCAAAGTGAGAGATCTCATCTCTTAAGAGCCATTGTGGCTAGTTTGGAACTTTAACTCTTAAATAATTTATTGAAGGCCAACCCCCTCACGTCCCCTCCCACTGTGGGAGCTTTTCTGCCCTCTCAATAAATCCTGCTTAAAAAAAATTTTTGTAATACATAAATAAATAATTGAAAAATAAATAAACAAACAAGCAAATAAATAAATTATCGGCCAAGTCGTTTTTCCAATGGATACAAATACAAGTAAATCAAAGTGGTGTTCTTACCTAATTTGGAAGAATCATACTTGGATTTAATATTGATTAATAATTTCTCCATATGGTGGAAGTTTGGAAATCCTTCAGGAAGGACTAAATAATCATTTACTTGGTCATACAAAGTCACAGACAGTTCTCTCAGGCACAGGAACTTATCCAAATTAGGAAAGAGTTGTTCTGTAAAGCAGTATAGTTGCACATTAATAATCTAAAGGGTTCCAAATGAAAAGTCTAAAACTGTTACTTTAATGCATGCAAGTATTTCTACCTTTTTTTTTTTTTTTTTTCTTGAGTCAGGGTGTTACTCTGTTGCCTAGGCTGGAGCACACCGGGGCACACTGCAGCCTCAAGCTCGCAGCTCACCGCAGCCTCAACCTCCTGAACTCAGGCAATCCTTCCATTTCAGCCTCCCAGGTAGCTGGGACTACAGGTGAATGTCACCAGACCCAGCTAATTTTTTTTTTTTAAAGACAAAGTCTCACTACGAAGTCCAACAATTAGGTTCACGAGCCATCCTAGAAAAGGTGCTACGTAACCCATTGCTAAATATCACTACAATCACCTTCAAAGTACTCTCCTTGAGGAGCTATGCACTGACGCCAGCACCTAGTCCACCCGTCCAAGCAATATGGTAACTCTTTTTCTGGAATGGCCAAACTGCTGTCACTATATATGGAGGACTGTCAATTAAGTTGGCGAATTTGCCACTGTGCACTCACATTGGCAGCACTGTAAAATAACTGTATTGAGACACCCTCCCTACTCACCTGATCTGGCCCCAATGACTTTTTTCTTTACCTGAAGATAAAGGAAAGAGTGAAAGGAAGCCATTTGAGGACATTCAGGACATCAAGGGTCATACAAGGACAGCGCTGATGGCCGTTCCAGACAAAGAGTTCCAATATTGCTTTGATGAGTAGGCCAGGTGCTGGCATCGGTACATAGCTTCTCAAGGGGAGTCCTTCAAAGATGACCATAGTGGTATTCAGCAACGAGGTGTATAGCACTTTTTCCAGGATGAGTTTGCGAATTTAATTGTTGGACACATATGTGGCCTAGGCTAGTCGTTGTTTGTTTGTTTGTTTGTTTGTTTTTGAGTCAGAGTTTCACTCTGTTACCCAGGCTGGAGTGCAGTGGCATGATCAGGGTCACTGCAGCCTCGACCTGCTGGGCTCAGGTGATCCTTCCACTCCAGCCTTCCAAGCAGCTTGAACTACAGGCACGCACCATCATGCCCAGCTAATTTTTAAAATTTTATCGTAGAGATCAGGCTCACCAAGTTACCCGGGCTGGTCTCGAACCCATGGGCTCAGGCAATCCCTCACTTCCACCTCCCAAAGTGCTAGGATCACAGGCGTGAGCCACCATGCCCGGCCCCAGGCTGATCTTAAACTCCTGGGCTCGAGCAGTCCTCCCACCTCAGCCTCTGGAAGTGCTGGGATTACAGGTGTGAGACTCTTCGCCTGGCCAATTTCCACATTTTCAAATGAAAACCTTCCACATACCATAAAACATTCTTTAGAAAGTGCATATTTGAAGATATTGCTATTTGCAGCTTTTAACTGAGTATGTATACATGGAAAGTTCTGTGCTACTCTCTGGACTCACAGAAATAAATAAGTGATCTCTTCAACAAATGGTGTGGGAACAACTGTATTTGCACTTGAAAAATAATGAAGTTAGCCGGGCTTGGTGGCTCAGTCTGTAATCCCAGCACTTTGGGAGGCTGAGGTGAGTGGATTGCCTGAGACCGCGGGCTCGAGACCCGCCTGGGCAGGCGAGACCTCATCTCTACAATAAATCAAAAAATCAGCCGGGCGTGGTAGCGTGCACCTGTAGTTCCAGCTACTTGGAAGGCTGAGGCGGAAGGATGGCCGGAGCCCAGCAGATCGAGCCAGCGGTGGCCGGGAGCAGCCACTGCACTCCAGTCTGGGTGACGGAGTGAGACTCCAACTCAAAAAATAATAATAATAATAATAACCAAGTTGAACTCTTATCTCCCATGACATAAAAAATCTACTCAAAATGGGTCAACAACATGAATATAAGAACTAAAATAATATAAAAGGGGTAAATCTTTATGACTCTAGATTTGGAAATGGATTCTTAGGTATGAAATAAAAAACCTAGCAAAAAAGAAAAAACAAATAGATTTCATCGAAATGAACCTGGGCACAGTGACTCACACCTATAATCCCAGCACTTTGGGAGGCGGAGGCAAGAGGATTGCCTGAGCCCATGGGTTCAAGACCAGCCTGGGCAACATAGCGAGACCTCATCTCTACAAAAAATAAAGAAACTAGCTGTGCATGGCGGCACACCCTTGAAGTCCCAGCTACTCAAGAGGCTGGGGATCATCTGAACCCAGGAAGTCAAGGCTGCAGTGAGCTATGATTGTACCACTGCACTCCAGTCTGGGCAACAGAGGGAGACCCAGACTCAAAAAAAAAAAAATTTATATAAAACCATCTACGGGGCTGATGCATACGTTCGTAGCATTTTCCGCGAATGTCGCACAGTGGCTGACAGGTCACAGTCCCTCCCATTTGCTCATTCTCGGGGTGACTGAGGTGGAGCATCATGGCTTAAGGCATTTAAACAGTCAACAAGGGCACCTGCATGATCAATGTTTCTATACCTACCCCTGAAATGTACCCCACATCTTTATAATAAAAATTAAAGTAAAAAAATTAAAAATAAAATAAAGCATTTAGACAGTCTTCATCAAAGCCCAAAGGTCTTCCTGAACACGGGGGATCAGGCAGGTCAAAGTGGCCCTCTTCGAAACGACAAGACTGTTTTCTTGCCATGCTTTCCCCAGTGGCATTCTCCCCGGGGCCCTGCACACATGTTTCCAGCCGTCTCCGCTGCCTTGACTCCTCTGTCACACTCAAACAGAAGGATATGTCGGAAGTGTTCGTTTTCTCCACTTGACACTCCAACTTCCTTAGCCCACAAATAGCCCTAACTTTCTTCAAGTTGTCAAAATGCAAAAGCACAACACTCACACCAAATGACAAACTCCCAACAGCACAGGCTTGCCATGCCAAAAACAAACGCTACAAACGTATGCATCAACCTTGTGTGTGTGTGTGTGTGTGTGTGTGTGTGTGTGTGTGTGTGTGTGTATGCAGGTATACCTTGTGACTGAAGTCTCCCTGAGATTTCAAGAGATTCCAAGGAAGACAGGGTGACAAGCAATTCGTGCTCTGAGACACTGAGTTCTTCAAATGTGTGTATGGAGCACTTGGTGACAGAGGCCTTACACAACTCCAGAGCCGGACGAATGCTTTCAAGAAAGCCTCCGCTGGAGAATAAATGGAGTTCGATGTGCTGTGAAGCTGGGAAAACTTCCGTGAGAACCCTGAGCATCTCCTGGTCGACACCGTTCACATGAGACACATGCACTTCCAGGCAGGGAAGCTTGTGAGGCTTTGGAGAGAGTCTCCAGTAGCCAGTACTGATGTCCGGTGGTGCCCGGCGTTCAATGTTGTAAAACCTCTGATGCATAGCCTCTTTTTCGGCTAAATTTTGCTCCCATTCATTCATAGCCACAAAGGCAGAAGCATAATCCTGATCCACGGTGGGCGCCGGTGATATGTCCCAACCTGCTACCTCTGATAAACGTTGCATGTGTGGTACTTTATTTCCTCTTATCAAGACTTTGATGCTTTTCAGCAGGAGCAGGCTTTCTGGGTGGTCAAAAAAGTACTGGGACTTAAGTGTCATCAAAGACAGTGTTCTCCCTTGAAGGAAGTGCAAAATAAACGGAGAGCATGCAGGGGTGCTGTTGCTTCGGTAAGCAATTTTCAGGGCCAGAGCCAGGATTTCTTCTGAAACCATCGAAAAGCAAGCTTGTGGAGCCATTTCCCACAATACTCGAATTGCTTCCGTGTTCAGGGAACTTCCCAGATGGTTCTTTGAGGGGTCAACCTTCTCAGACATACTCTCCAACGGCTCTTTCTTCTCCGCCAAACGAAGCAAATGAGATACAATCTGGGGCCCTGACTTTGCCGAAGGGTAGCGGGAGACATAATTTAAAAAATCACCATAGGTGCTCATAGCCACTATGGATGAGCTGATTCGTCTCAAATAAGACAGTCCCAAATCTTGGTCTTCCTGCCCATCTGAATCCAGGAGTTCAATCAGCCTCATCCCAGCAAGAAATTCTTGGAATGCAGGATTTAAGAACCGGTAGACTGGTCTCAGTCTCTGGGCTGTGAATTTGCTCATCAGGTACGTGGTTAGTTCTTCATCCTCGTCAACCCCTGCGTTTGTGAGGTCATCACCACTGAACTCAAAGCAAGACGAGAAAAGCCCTTTCAAGGCCAGCGCCCCACAGGAGGACACGGTTGCTCTGAGCAGTTCTGCTGTCGTTTGGTGCCTTAAGAAAAGGCACTGAATGTACAATCGGAAAACGGCCACATCATCAAAGGACAGGTCGAACGGACACTGACACCAGTGAGCACAGACTGCCGCCACAAAGAGGGGCGTTTTCTGAATTCCTTGCAAGTGTTCGTTCTTTCCAAAGTGAACCATAAGCTTGCGCAGACGGGTTACATTATCTGAAAAGAGCTTTCGTAATATGTAGACAGTATTGTAGAAAGGAAATGCTTGGATCTCTAGGACTGTATTGAGGTATCGGCGGATGTCCCTGGTCCTGTTTGTTCGAACAGCAATCAACAAGCAGGTCCGCGATGAGAAGTTTTTTTGAATCAGTTTTCCTATGACTTGGGGAACTAAACACATTTCTTTGTAGTCATCTACAAGGAACAACACCTGATTCTTCAACTCCTGGAGGATATTCCTCATGCAGGTTTCAGTGACACATCCCTCTTTCTCTAGGAGTTGGTCACAAATGAGGCTGGCCAGTCCCTGGTCCGGGCTGGTGGAACTGAGAGAGAGGTAGAAGACCAGCTGGAACCTGTTTAACAAGGGACAGCATCCCGAGGCCCATAAAAAGGCGATTTTCTTCAGGAAGACTGTCTTTCCGCTGCCAGCTTCGCCCTCCACACACATGACAGAGTTCAAGTTGGCAAGGACTTCAGGCAACACCAGGGGCTCTTGCCCAGGGTGGCCGATGTTCTTGGAAGCCATGGACAGATCACAGCCCAGCAAGTGGGCTGTGGGTCTATCCGAAGAGATCTCGAGCAGAGACATGTGGCAGAAGCGGCTGCTGGTGTAGGCTGCTCTCAGTCGCTCACTCAGGCTCTTGGCCTCTGGAAACCACTGGGCTTCGCTCTGGGCCATCTCTGCAAAGAGAAGAAAGGGCCCAGTGGCATTCACAGTCACATCTCTCTCGGTCCTCACTCCATGCTCGCTTCGCTATGTGATTCTGCCTACCTGCTGTGAGGTTTTCGGACCTCCCACGCCATCTACGATTCCCACATGGGGATCCTCTCATGGCTTTTGCCACCAAGTGAGCATGTGGGGAGCATGTGCCAAAGGGCCCTACTTGCCACGGAGACCTAGAAACCATGTGTGCTCCTGAGAAGCGCCACAGAATCCCATAATTCCCCATTTTAATTTGTCTCCGAGTCAGGGTCTCACTCTGTCGTCCAGGCTGGAGGGCAGTAGCAGGACCATGGCTCCCTGCAGCCCTCGACCTCCCGAGCTCAGGTGATCCTTCTGTCTCAGCCTCCCGAGGGGCTGGGACTAGAGGCACACACCACCACGCCCAGCTAATTTTTTTGCAGAGGGGAGGTCTCACCATGTTGCCTAGGCTGGTCTGGAACGCCTGGGTTCAAGCAATCCTCCTGCCTCGACCTCCCAAAGTGCTGGGATTCCAGACGTGAGCCACGGTGCCTGGCCTTATAATTTCCCATTTTAAAATCTCAGGAAAGGAGCTTGCTGAATGGGGCCTTGAAACACTGTTTGTGTGTAGTTGAGCCATGCTGGCTACTATCATTTTGTTCCTGCACACACGCTGGAGATGGAATCCTATGATTTCCCTTGCGATGGTGCTCGTCTGTGGGAACTCTTTGGACAATCATAAACACTCTTTCTTTTCAAATCCCCTGCATACAAATGTATTTACACATGCATTCGATACCTGGTGCTAAAGTTCTTACCTGGCACTGTAGAACTCATTGCTACTGAATCTTCAAGATTGCTTTCACTTGTGATTTCCTTTGAAAAATAAAATCCTTTGTTAAGTCAAAATATGCATAAAAGGGTGAGACATCATGCTGAAATTGGGGACCCAGCATCTTCTAAACACAGCCCACCCTCCAATACTTATGCTGAGTGAGGGGAGAAGTGCTCCAAATGTGAAACAATAAATAATCTGCAAACATCCGCAAGAGTATGTGATCCCAAGTGATTCATAGACGACACAATTCATGGGTGAGTACTCTTCAGGTGATCAGAATTACGGTGTCTAGGGCAAGAAGGACCCTTCAAAAATCATTCAGGGCTGGGCTCGGTGGCCCAGCCTGTAATCCCAGCACTTTGGGAGGCCGAGACGAGTGGATTGCCTGAGCCCGTGGGTTCGAGACCAGCCTGGGCAACTTGGTGAGACCTCATCTCTACAATAATTTTTTAAAAGTGAGCTGGGCGTGGTGGTGCGTTCCTGTAGTTCCAGCTACTTAGAAGGCTGAGGCAGAAGGATCACCTGAGCCCAGCAGGTTGAGGTTGCGGTGGCCAGGAACGTACCACTGCCCTCCAGCCTGGGTGACATTAGGGGCAACCTCTGGAGTTAGTTAACTACACTTTTAATATTACACATCTGGGATATGGAAGGGCTATGTGTCATCCTTTAAAAAATGCGCTGGTTATATATTCCCAAACTCTTTTCTTCAGTGTCACTTATTAATTCACAAATATGAAAGGTGAATGAAGTGAGAAAGCAAGTTGCTTTGGGTTCTTGCTGTGGGATGACCCACATAACATCCTTAGCATCTGGCCTCAAAATAATGTTGTATGCGTGTGCATTAAATTGGTAGGGGCTTATATCCCAGAGAACCATGTTGGATTACTCAGCTTGAAGGGGTCAACCTGTTATCTAGGTTTATGATTTTTGTGGGGCATTTGCTTTTATTAAAGAACGTCATCCCAGGCCTGGAGAAGGCCAAGGAGTAAGTCTGGCCTTACGGCCCTCCAAATGAAGACCATAGATAGGATCCATTTAGCCTGAATGCTAGTCAGCTCTAAGAGTCTGAGCCCGAAAGCAGAAGATTGACTGTGTTATACTGGCTTAGTATGGGATCCCCATCTGCACCTAGAACATGATATAGGTGCTTAGTTGATTTTTGCAGAATTTATTTATTGACTTATTTATGATGAGAAATCCCTGTTCAAAACAGTTTTCAATCACACGAGCACATACTGCTGAAACAAAGTGGTGGTGTTCATCATTACCGGTAATTCACAGAGTTTGCTATGGCTCTGAAGGTCTGGCATCGCTTCTGCAAAGGACTTCATATTTTGGAGAAACTGACAGCTAAGCATAAAAGTTAAAAGTTACAAAAAGAGTTGTACGCAATTAAGTATTTGCATTAGGTTTCTAAAAACACAGAAATTTTAGCGATAAGCATTAAGTATAAAACTATAATTTCCAGTGATTCTGTCAGGGTCATCATCAGGCAAGACATGTGGATTGTGATAGTCTCTGCAAAATAAATGTAAATGGTTTATAAAGTGATAGAAAAGATGGCCGGGGAAGTTGGTAGAATGAGCGCATATTTACCACTCATCCATGGAAAAGACTAAAATGAACTTAAAGAATCAAAAATAGAGAAGAAAACTCTACGGATTCTGGAACAGCCTGGGCAACAGAGTGAGACTCCAACTCAAAAGCACATTAGTGGAAAAACTAGTAAAATCCAAATAAAGTCTGGCGTTTAGTTAACACTAGTGTACCATGAATCCCTACCTCTCGCCACACACAAAAATTAACTCAAGATGAATCTAAGAATTAAATGTAAGACCTGAGACTATAAAAGTCCTAGAAGAAAACCTAGGAAACACTCTTCTGGATGTCAGCATAGGTGAAGAATTTATGACGAAGACTCCAAAACCAATTGTGACAAAACCAAAAATAGACAAATGCAACTTAACTAAAAAGCTTCTGCTTGGCAAAAGAAATAATCAACAGAGTGAACAGAAACTCTATGGAATGGGAAAAAAAGGTTTGCAAATTATGCCTCAGACAAAGGACTAATAGCCAGACTCTACAAGGAACTCAAAGACAACTCAACATGAAAAAGCCAAACAATCCCATCAAAAAGTGGGCAAAGGACATGAAGACAGTTCTCAAAGGAAGACATATAAGCAGCCAATAAACATGAAAAACGCTCAACATCACTAATCACCAGAGAAATGCAAATTAAAACCACAACGAGATATCACCTTACACCAGTTAGAATGGCTAAATTATTAAAAAGTCAAAGAACAACAACAACAACAAAAAAAGGAAATAAAAAGCCAAAGAATAACAGATGTTGGCTTGATTGTGAAGACAAGGAGCACTCACTCACTGTTGGTGGAACTGGAAAGTAGTTCGGCCTCTGTGAACAGCAGCATAGAGATTTCTCAAAGAACTGAAAATTGAAAAACCATTTCATCCTGCTACCAGGGATCTACCCGAAGGAAAAGAAATCATTATATAAGAAAGATACCAAAGGCTGGGCATGGTGGCTCACACCTATAATCCCAGCACTTTGGGAGGCCAAGGTGAGAGGATTGCCTGAGTCCACGAGTTCGAGACCAGCCTGGGCAACTGGGCAAGACCTCATCTCTACAATAAATCAAGAAAAATTAACCCGGTGTGATGGTGCGCACCTGTAGTTCCAGCTACTTGGAAGGCTGAGGCGGAAGGATCGCCGGAGTCCGGCAGGTCAAGGCTGCAGTGGCCGTGTTGAGCGTGCCACTGCCCTCCATCCTGGGCGACAGAGTGAGACTTCGACTCAAAAAAAAAAGGAAGAAAAGAAAGATACCTGTCCTCATAGGTTCCTCGCAGCAGTATTTACAATAGCAAAATCATGGAACCAACCTGTGCCCACCAACGATTAGCTGAATAAATAAAATGTGGTATATATACGCCATGGAATACTATGAAGCCATAAAAAAGAATGAAATCATGTGTTCTGCAGCAACATGGTGGAAGCTTGAGGTCATCATCCTAAGTGAACTGAATCAGAAAGAGAAAACCAAACCTGTTCTCACTTACAGGTGGGAGCTAGCTATGCATAAAGATGGGCATAAAAGACACTGGGAACATCAGTAAGGGGAGAGGTGGGCAAAGGGGTAAAGGTTCACAAGTTTCCTGTCGAGTACAATGTTTCCTACCTGGGCAATGGACCACCTGAGACCCCCTCCCCATCATTGCACAATATGTCCATATACCAAACATGCACTTAAACCTACTGATTCTAAAAGAAAACAAAATGCAGTGTACCAATGTAACAATTCTTAATTTTGAGAAATGTATCATGATAGTGTAAGAGGTGAGCATTGGGGTAAACTAGGTATGGTAATACATAGGAACTCTTTGTATTACTTTGTACTTTTTCTATATTATTAAAAATCTTCAGGCCGGGGTCGGTGGCTCAGCCTGTAATCCCAGCACATTGGGATGCCGAGGCAAGAGGATTGCCTGAGTCCAGGGGTTTGAGACCAGCCTGGGCAAATTGGTGAGATCTTGGCTCTACAATAAATCAAAGATTTGCCGGGCATGTTGGTGCATGCCGGTAGTTCCAGCTACTTGGAAGACTGAGGCAGAGAGATCACCTGAGTCCAGCAGATCGAAACTGCGGTGGCTGTGAGTGTGCCACTGCACTCCAGCCTGAGCAACAGATTGAGACTCCAACTTAAAATAAAAAAAGGCAAGCCAGGCTCGGTGGCTCAGCCTGTAATCCCGCGCCTTTGGGAGGCTGAGGTGAGTGGATTGCCTGAGCTCGCGGGTTCAAGACCCACCTGAGCAACTTGGCGAACCCTCATCTCTACAATAAATCAAAAAATCAGCCAGGCGTGGTAGCGCACGCCTATAATTCCAGCTCCTTGGAAGGCTGGGGCAGAAGGATCGCCGGAGCCCAGCAGGTGGAGGCTGCGGTGGCTGGGAGCGGCCACTGTACTCCAGTCTGGGTGACAGAGTGAGACTCCAACTCAAAAAAAAAACAAAACAAAAATTTAGCTGGGTGTGGTGGTGCCCACCTGTAGTTCACTCAAGAGTCTGAGATGGCGGATTACTTGAGCCCAGGAGGTCAAGGCTGCAGTGAGCTATGGACCTCACCACTGCACACAGCCTGGGCGAGAGAGTGAGACTCCAACTAAAAAAATAAAATTAAAAAAAAAATCTTAAAAAATATCTATCTATCTATCCATCCATTTAGAGTTGGAGTCTCACTCCGTCGCCCAGGTTGGAGTGCAGTGGCACACTCACGGCCACCCCAGCGTCAACCTGCTGGGCTCAGGTGATCCTTCCACCTCAGCCTTCCAAGTAGCTGGAACTACAGGTACACGCCACCATGCCTGGCTAATTTCTGACTTATTGTGGAGACAAGGTCTTTCCAAGGTGCCGGGGCTGGTTCGAACCCACGGACTCAGGCAATCCACTAGACTTGCCTCCAAAGTGCTGGGATTACGTTACAGGCTGAACCACTGAGCCCGGCCAATAATTGACTATTTAAAGCAAAAATATAACACTACACTGTAAGATTTATAATGTACACGGAAACAAAAGGTTTGAAAACAATGGCACGCTGGGCTCGGTGGCTCAGCCTGTAATCCCGTGCCTTTGGGAGGCTGAGGTGAGTGGATTGCCTGAGCCCGCGGGTTCGAGACCCGCCTGGGCAGGTGAGACCTCATCTCTACAATAAATTTAAAAAAAAAAAAAATTAGCTGGGCATGGTAGCGCACGCCTGTAATTCCGTCTACTCGGAAGGCGGAGGCGGAAGGATCGCCGGTGCCCAGCAGGTGGAGGCTGCGGTAGCCAGGAGTGGCCACTGCACTCCAGTCTGGGTGACAGAGTGAGACTCCAACTCAAAAAGAAAACAATAGCACAAGAGATGGGGGGAGAAAAGGAAGTATACTGTCATATGATTCCTACATTTTAAGTCAAGTGCTATATTTTTTGAAGATGACTATGACATGTTAAACATACATATTGCAAACGCTGGAGCACGTAGTAAAAAGACAAAATAAGAATGAATAGTTAATAAGCCAACCATAGAGATAAAAAGGAGTACTGGAAAAAAATGCAAACCCCAAGAAATTAGGAAAAGAAAAAGAAAGAAACAAAGAGGATATGGAATAAATAGAAAGCAAATAACAAACTAGGTTTAAATCCAACCATGTTTATAATTGCATAAATGTAAATGTCCTCGATATTCCAACTAGAAAGCAGATATTGTCAGCCTCTTAAAAAAGCAAGACTCTGTACCCCACATCCTTAAAATATAAAAAAAAACAAGACTCATCTGTGTTGCCTACAAGAATTCATTTTGAATATAAAGTTGCAGATATATTAAAAATAAAATGATAGGAAAGCTATATTAACATCAGATAAAGACTTAATATGAAAGTTTATCAGGGATAAGGAGGGATATTTCATATGTTCTCCAAAAGATGAAAAATCAAAGGACAAAAAAACAAAACAAGCAAAAAACCAAGACATACTCCTGAAGAAGAAGAACAAGAAAAATTTATGGGCAAATAAGATAGTATGCTTAACATGATTAGTAATTCAATAGACAAAAATTAAAGTCTTCAAAATTTACAGAAATTAAAGCAATATTATGCCAAGTACAGGGGCCCATGCCCGTAATTCCAGCACTTTGGGAGGCTGAGGTGAGAGGATTGCCTGAGCTCAGGAGTTTGAGACCAAAGTGAGAGTAAAAAGCCACACATAGAGAGAGTTGATAGATTCCAGAACAAGTTCTGAATAAAACTAGACTATATCTTAGCTTATTCTTCCAAGAATTAAGAACATCCCACTGTTCCCATCAATTTGCTACATACTAAATCCAAATAAGAATGGAAAAAATTAACTACCGCTGTCAAAACACTTCAAAGCAATAAAATGATATAAAAGCATTAATTTTCTTCTATTTAAAAAAAAATTTAGCCGGGCTCGGTGGCTCAGCCTGTAATCCCGCGCCTTTGGGAGGCCGAGGTGAGTGGATTGCCTGAACCCGCGGGTTGGAGACCCGCCTGGGCAGTGAGACCTCATCTCTACAACAAATCAAAAAATCAGCTGGGTGTGGTAGCGCATACCTGTAATTCTGGCTACTTGGAAGGCTGAGGCAGAAGGATTCCGGAGCCCAGCAGGTCAAGGCTGTGGTGGCCGGGAGCAGCCACTGCACTCCAGTCTGGGTGACAGAGTGAAACTCCAACTCAAAAAAAAAAAAAATGTGTTCATACTCACCACTATACAAACAAGGAGAGAGCATTCATTTAAAAATCTGGATATGTTGACTGGGTGCGGAAACTCATGCCTGTAATCCCAGCACTTAGGGAGGCGGAGGCAAGAGGATTGCCTGAGCCCAGGGGTTAAAGACCAACCTGGGCAACTTGGCGAGATCTCGACTCTACAATAAAAAATAAAAAAACTATCCAGGCATAGTGGCTCATGCCTGTAGTTCCAGCTGCTTGGAAGGCTGAAGTGGAAGGATGGCCTGAACCCAGCAGGTCAAGGCTGTGGTGGCCACAAGTGTGCCACTGCACTCCAGCCTGGGTGACGGTGAGACTCTGATTTAAAAAAAAAAAATCTGAATATGTTAATATTTTATTCTGAAAAAAACTCTAACTACTTACATAGTGAAAACAGCAAATCTCTTTTTACAATTGAACATTTCTGAAGAGTTTGATGGGTAAAAAATTATTTGTAAGTTTAAGATTCTTAGAAAATAAATATTAAAGAAATATTTCTTCATACAATTTTTAGAGCCAAAATAGAAAATTCTGAAGTTTCAGAGCAGGAAAAAACTAGCATTCAGTTTAAGGACTGAGAAGCTGACTAGCATGGAGCTTCTCACCAGTAACATTAGAAGCTAGTAGATTCTTCACCATCACTCAATTGCCAAAGTTAGAAAAAAAAGAAGTAGAAATGTAGCAATGGCTCTACAACTTAGAACTAAAATGACTTCCAACCTATAATTCTATACCAGCTAAACTACTAAATAAGCGTGAGTAGGAGGGAAAAAAAGATATATATATATGTAATACACACACACATGCACACATATGCATTATGTGCAAACTAAAAACATGTATCTCTTATGCAATCTTTCCCAGGAAACTCTGGCAAAGTGTTCCATCCAAGTGAGTGAGTGAACCGAGAAGAGGATGACATTAGATCCAGGAAACAGGAAATACAATGCAGGAGCGAAATAACAGGAATCTCCAGAATGATGGTGAAGAAAGAGCTCGGGATCCCACGGTGACTCTAGGACAAGCAGTTCATATTAGAGCAGGTCACAGTTCAGGACAGACTTCTTCAAGAAGATGAAAATGATGAGATATTTGGTAGGTCTGAATGACTTGAGAGGAGACTTAAACATTGGGGACAATTTGAAGATGAACTGGTGCTATGTACATAAAATATTAGCAGATGGCTATATGTGTTTTGTTTTATTTTATTTTATTTTATTAGACTCAGGGAGTACAACTCTCTCTCTGACTCTTCTCGCTTGTTTTTTCTGATTATGTCCCGTGGTAATCTGCTCTCTGGAAAGGCCCACATGGCAACATCCAGTTTAAGAACTGAATCCCAGCCGGGCTCGGTGGCTCAGCCTGTAATCTCAACACTTTGGGAGGCTGAGGTGAGTGGATTGCCTGAGCCCACGGGTTTGAGACCCGCCTGGGCAACTTGGTGAGACCTCATCTCTACAATAAAATAAAAAATTAGCTGGGGGTGGTAGTGTGCGCCTGTAGTTCCAGCGACTTGGAAGGCTGAAGCGGAGGGATCGCCGGCGCCCAGCAGGTCGAGGCTGCGGTGGCCGGGAGCGGCCACTGCACTCCAGTCTGGGTGACAGAGTGAGACTCCAACTCAAAAAAAAAAAAAAAAATGAACTGAGTCCCTCAATCCAGCTGTCTGTGAGGAATCCCATCAGCAGCCCCACGAGTGTGCCTGGAGACAGACCCTTCCCCAAGCAAGTCCAAGATAACTGCAGTTCTGGCTGGCCCCCTGCTGACAGCATTCAAAGATGGTTTGAGCCAGAGGACCCAGTTAAGCCACTCCTATATTTCTGACCCTGAGAAGCTGAGTTAATAAATGCTATTTTAGTCACTAAACAACAACAACAAGATTCACTAAACAACAAAGTGAATGTTTGTTACATGGACAAATTGCATACTGGTGGGGTTGGACTTCATGTGGCCCATTCACCAGATAGTGAACATCATACCTGATAGGAAACTTTTTTTTTTTGAGTTGGGTGTCTATCACTCAGGCAGGAGTGCAGTGGCACATTCACAGCTCACCACAATCTCAAACTCCTGGGCTCAAGTGATCCTCCTGCCTCAACCTCCCAAGTAGCTGGGACGATGCGCATGCACCAATATACCTAGCTATTTTTTTTAAGAGATGAGGTCTCACTATGTTGCCAAGGCTGATCTCAAACTCCTGGGTGCAAGCAGTCCTCCCACCTTGGCCTCCCAAAGTGCTGGGATTACAGGCATGAGCCACCACACCCAGCCCCAACAGGTAATTTTCAATCCCCCCACATCCCAGATGGCTAAATATTAAAAACAAAAACAAAAACAAAACAGAACTTAACATTGTACAAACATTGTGGAACATAGTTTGACAGTTCCTAAAAAAGTTAAATATAGCCGGACTAGGTGGCTCAGCCTGTAATCCCGTGCTTTGGGAGGCCGAGGTGAGTGGATTGCCTGAGCCCGCGGGTTCAAGACCCGCCTGGGCAACTTGGCAAGACCTCATCTCTACAATAAATCAAAAATTAGCCGGGCGTGGTAGCGCGCACCTGTAGTTCCAGCTACTTGGAAGGCTGAGGCGGAAGGATCGCCGGAGCCCAGCAGGTCGAGGCTGCGGTGGCCGGGAGCGGCCACTGTACTCCAGTCTGGGCAACCGAGTGAGACTCCAACTCAAAAAAAAGAAAACAAAAAAGTTAAACATGGAATGACTATATAACCTAGCAATTCTACTATTAGGTAAATATCTCCAAAGAGTTGAATAAAGGTACGCACTGCAATAGATACCTGTACACAAATATTCCTGTCAGCACTGTTCATAATAACCAAAAGGCAGAAACAAACCAAATGTCCATGAACAGATAAAAGGATAAATAAAATGCAGTATAACCATATGGAATATTATGTGGCCACAAAAAGGAATGAAGTACTTATACAAGTTATAACATGATAAACCTCAAAACAGTATGCCAAGTGAAAGAATTCAAATGCATAAGGTCATGTTGCATGTTTCCGTGTATGTGAAATATCTAGAATAGGTAAATCCATAGACACAAATTAGGTTGGTGTCTCCCAGGGGTGGGGCATGGATTGGGGTGGAGAGATAAGGAGTGACTGCTTAATGGATGCAATTTTCTCTTGAAAATCCTTTGGAACTAGAGAGAAAGAGTGGCTGCACAGCATTGTGAGGCTGCAAAATTGTGCACTTTCAAGTGGCTCATGTGCACATTTTATTTTTTAAAGAGTGAAAAATAAGCAAATTTACTAACAAGATGATTATTTCTTCCTAGAAAAATAAAAAGATGTATAGGAAGGGAAAATAAATCAAAACTTACCGTAAGCTTCAGCTCTGCATAGCATTTGGAAAAAAAAAAAAGATGGCTCTAACAAAAGTGTGATATAACCGTAACAAGAGGAAGGCTAGACAAGAAGTATGTCACGGGAGCAAAGGGGAAAAAGGCATAAAGGCACATTCCTCGTGGTGCGAGTCAGAGGGTGGGCAAAGCCTTCATCTAAAGAGAACACGAGGGAAGAAATGAGGAAAACAGTTGTCAAAGTGCATCCAAAGTCACAGACACTAAACATTCATTCCACCCACTTGGGAAAAAACTTGGTGTGATCTTCTAATGGGTCATCGCCTTCCTTCCACTTCTCCAAACATCCCCCACAGGAGAAACACTGGACAATGTCCTGTATACCTAGAATGAAGGACATCTGATCAGTGCCCTGGCATGTGCAGTTGTCAGTTGACAAGCAGATCATGACCACCAGACCCTTAGGCGCGAGATTCTAGTTGCATCTCCCATGGGACTTTGTGACAAAGTCATAAGTTGGGTCAACAGTATAGCAATAATCGATAGAGGATTCTTGGTCCACAGTGGGGTAATCAGCAAATCGTAATCCAAGGTTCCTATGCCCCATGCATGTTGATGGACACCCTCCCTCTGCCCATTCTCCTCCCAGCCACAAAGAGATTTGCAACTGGAATCTGGAATTGAAGAGGGATGCGGGGGGCCAGCCCCTGCAGGTTTGGGGGAGTCCGTTGGAAGGTATGGTGGCGTCGGCGAATATTCTGGAGAAATAAAGAGAAAGGAAGAGACTGGACTCTGTCTAGTGCAGAAGCCGATTTAATGGGGCAAACCATAAGCCTTTTATCCTAAAGTTTTACAGGCAAGATCACAAGATTTAAGATTTTCACGTGAACACAAAGCCAGGTGGATAAGGGGCATCCCCCCATCCACCAGGTGTTTCCTCAAACATGAGGAAGGACAATCCCAATATTATTTCACTGTTCCTTATGTTTGGTTAATGTTCCTCACAAACAATATAACAATTCTAACATCATAATATTCTAATAATCAATAACTTCTAAAACGTATGCATTCCCAACACCTAATGACTAACTTAAATCCTAATACCTTTCTATTCTCTGCTAATTTTACCTGTACTATAAAAAAACTCTTAATTATAGCTCAAACCGGTTCCTAAAGAATGTGGCCCAGTCCAAAGATCACACTGGGCCGTTTCCAGGAACAATTGATTATAATCTCTTAACAAAATGGCTATTCTAAAATCCTATGTATCTATCTTATTTCTATAAAATTTCTAATTCCTAATCTTAATATATAAAGCTGATCATCAGCAATAAAACTTCTAAAATAAAACCCAAATACAAACTGTAATTGTACTAAAGCCAAAACTGCAATTAGTAGAAAATGGGAACAATGAAATTTCTAAAGTTAACTGTATACTTATAAAACCTCAAAATATCATGTTTGATCATGCTTGAACTAACATAATTCCCTGACGTAGCATGACCTATTCTACAATATTTTCTATGAATAAAATAAATTCAACTTCCATAATAAGTAGAAAAAACCTACACTAATTGTAGCTGAAGAACTGGTTTAAAAGAATGCAGCCCAGCCCAAAGTGGACGCTGGGCCCTTAGGAATATGGCCCAGTCCAAAGTTCATGCTGGGCCATTTCTGGTAACTCTAGATAATCATCTATACCATCTAAAGCTGAAAACAGCTCTCTAAATGTATATACTAATTCTACAAATATACTTTTAAATCTTATAAAGAAGCTTGTACCATATTAAAGGCTCCCAAATGTGACCTGAGTTTGAAGTGTGTTCAGTTTAAAGACGAAACCGCAGTCTGTGAGAAACGGGAACAGTGGATCCCTAGAGTCAGCCATGCCTGTCATATTCTCAGAACTTCATGCTTAGATCATCAAAGTCCCTGCTAGTGGATCACGCCAAACAACAAAGAAGGGAGGAGGGAATGGGCCTTCAGTTCCTGAACTCAACCTGGTGGTCTCAGGGTCCGCAGCCTGCCTGGATCCCTAATGCTCAGGCGGGCCTCCACAGCCGGCTCCCAACAGAGGGAAGGGTCTTGTGTCTGTTTTGCTCAGTGATGAATGTCATGAATCGAAAAGAGTGCCTAGCACTGGCCAGGCACAGTGGCTCAGAGATGAAATCCCAGCACTTTGAGAGGCGGAGGCAAGAGGATTGCTTGAGCTCAGGAGTTAGAGATCAGCCTGGGTGACATGGTGAGACCTCGTGTCTACAATAAATAAAAAAATTCGCTGGGTGTAATGGCACGTGCCTGTTGTTCCAGCCACTTGGAAGGCTGAGGCAGGAGAATCACCTGAACCCAGCAGATTGAGGCTGTGATGGCCATGAGCATGCCACTGCACTCCAGCCTGGACGACAGAGTGAGACTCCGTCAAAAAAAAAAAAAAGCCTAGCACTTATTAGGCTAGAGGGAAAAAAACATACGAACAAATTTAGCGGCCCTTATGTAAGCAAATTCATGAAGAATCAATTGCCTCTTACCCCATTATTGCCAGGTTTATTCCCTTACAAGTACGTTCAAGTTTCCTTGTAAGACTACCTTTCTTTGGAAAGAAACTGCTATTTGGCTCTTCCTGATCTTCTCCTTCGAGGGGTGCGGCCAAGATTACTATCCATACTCCTAGTATCTCCCAGCCTTCCACCGTAATAGAAACCTCCATTTTTAGCTGGGCACATGGCCACCCAGGAAAAAGATTACGTTTCCCAGTTCCTCTTATCGCTGGAGGCCATCTTCCATAAGTTCTGGTGAAGGAAGCACACACAGAAGTGTCCTGGGACCGTTTCTGGGAAACTTCCCGAAAGGACGGGGTGGGGGCAGTGATGTGGAGAAAGAAAAGACATGGTAAGATCCCAAACAGAATATGTGTGTCCATTGTTAGTCCAGACCTTAGGTTTTGAGCTCGAACCTTCACCCCCTGAGGAAGGCTTAGAAAACTGGGAGAGGATTTAGGGTGCAGCAAAGAAAAGGAATCGATCACTGATGCCGAGAAGAGTGGAGAGGTTGAGTGCAGACGATGCCAATCCGGGATCAGAAAGCCTATGTGGGACTGAGATGGTCAAACAAGCAAGTGGGTGCCAACTACTGACTCACCTGTATAGAAAAGACCCGCTTTGGCCAGAGCGGCCGCTCCCGGGGGTGAATTGTGGGGCCAGTTCTTAAAAGAGTCCAGCCGGAGTCCTTCATGAGCAAAGACGCTGTCATTGCAGTAAGCTGGAAAACAAGGCATAGGCTGAGACCAGCAGGCTTTGAGGTTACGCCTTCCTATGGACAGACGAGATGGAAGTTGATGGAGTTTGCTTCGAGGGAACTGGAGGTGTGCTTAAGAAAGGAAGGGAGGGGCAGAGAGGAGGCAAGACTGACCACGTGTTAGAACTGGGGACGCAGCATCGTGGATATATCGTGGGCATATACTATGGCAAACATATTTTTAAATTCTCTCTTTCTAATTTAGCATCAAAAAGAAACAAGGTAATCCCGCGCCTTTGGGAGGCTGAGGTGAGTGGATGGCCTGAGCCCGCGGGTTCGAGACCCGCCTGGGCAGCGAGACCTCATCTCTACAATAAATCAAAAATTAGCTGGGCGCGGTAGCGCGTGCCTGTAATTCCGGCCACTCGGAAGGCTGAGGCGGAAGGATCGCCGGGGCCAGCAGGTCGAGGCTGCGGTGGCCGGGAGCGGCCACTGCACTCCAGTCTGGGCGACAGAGTGAGACTCCAACTCAAAAAAAAAAAAAAAAAAAAAACAAGAACAAGCTAGAGACGATCCCCCTTCTCCCAAAGCCATTGTCGACAATTCAGAAAGGCCATTTCCCTTGTAGCTCCCGTAGGACCAGGCAGGTTTAGTTCTTGCCCTTTGGGATGTCCACTCCGGGGTCTCCATTGGACTTTCCACCTTTGGCTGACCCTGGGCTTTGGTTTCTGTCTTCTGCCTTCTATGAGGATTTGAAAATGAAACTTCCATTAACCTTGGTCTGCAGATTTTCTCCAGAGGAAAGCTTGCTTCCGCATTCTGCTGGACCCCAGGATTCTTGCTGTCACTTTATTTTTACTGTGAATATTCTTGAATTTCTTAACAGAATGCAGACCCATTGAAGGATGCTTTCAGAAACATTTTATCCAGAAGTTTTAGTTGTTTTAAGGAAAGTGTCAGTGAAGGAATCGACCCTGCCATATTTCCCTATGCTCATCCATGCTAAAAAAACTGTCATTCCATAAGATGAAAAATCTCTTCTGAAAATTATTTTTACAAAAAGACATAAAACACCATAAAATAAGGAGAAAAAAGAAGAGTTAAAATAGTGAGGACCAAAAAAAGCAAAAGAGGAAACTAGCAGAGTCTTTGGAATGTGTTTGAGTTTTTACCTGATGCCATAGGTAATTCTCTCTTGACCCAGGAATTCACAAAATGTTCTCCCTGAGGAGAATTAAAATTCAAGTTATTGTTTGCTTCACCTGTAAAGTATACGCCTGTCTACGCACAAGAACTGAAATAACTCCCCTCCCCCAATATGCTTCATTGGATGGAGTGGCAGAGGTTTGGAGACTCATTGTCAGGGTCACTTCTACCAGAGACCCATCTCAGAAACAGAACCGTATTTAAATATCACAGCCACACTTTGAGGAGGAAGTAAGAGACAGAGGGCGGAAACTCCATTCCGTTTCCGGAATTATATCATACATTGCATCATATCAAAATGCAATGGCATTATATCATACATTGAGCAACTGATCCTTCTGCAATCATTGTGCCCGGATTTCTTTCTTGAGAAAACACCTCCCTTCCTCCACCTTTAGGCCGCATTTTCTGGAGAGTCTGGTCTTCTGGGTCATGTTAGTCGATACATTCTCACTGTTGCTTAAGCCCATTTGGGTTGGATTTCTGTCACTTGCCACCAGGAAATGCTTCCTGATGCAGAATAAGTTACCAGCTGGGAGGAGCCAGCTCTTTGCTGCTGTGGGTGATGGTAGCTAAGTCAAAAGCTCTTAAGCAAACCTTCAGATGAGGGCGCGAGAGGCAGTCAGGAAAGGTGGTCCGGTCAAAAGGAGAAAGACTATGAGGAAAGCAGTCTTCTAGAACCCATCGAAAGCCATTTTAAACCAGGCATGGTGGCTCATTCCTGTAATCCCAGCACTTTGGGAGACTGAGGCAGACGGATCGCTTGAGCCCAGGAGTTCATGATCAGCCTGGGCAACATAGTGAGAATTCGTCTCTACAAAAAGTAAAATATAAAACAAAATAAACTGGTGGTGTGCGCTTATAATCCCAGCTACTTGGGAGGTTGAGGCGGAAGTAGCACCTGAGCTGAGGAGGTCAAGACTGTGGTCAGCTGTGATCACGTCACTGCACTACAGCCTGGGTGACTCCAATTCAAAAACAAACTCCGAAACAAACCAAAAAAGTCATTCCTGGAAAAATGAATTCAAAGCTTAGCAAGTAAAGGTGATATGTTTTCACTTTGCAGATGAATGGTAGGGAGATAAAAGAAGAGGAGAAGAAAGAAATTGAACACATGACAAAAAAGAATGCCTCTTCTGCTTCAGATATTATTAGGTAATCAAAACTTGAGGGAAAAATATGCTGTTATACATTACCGTTACATCAATGAACCCCTTGTAGCTTTGAATATATTGGGCAATTTCCGCTGAGGATTTCTTACTTTGAAGAAATTCGCATCTATAATTAAGAAATATAATTAAAATGTATCCCAATACTGTGATACAGGTGTCCTGTATGACAATGAACATTTATTAAAACTTGTTGAGGCTGGTGTGGTGGCTCACACCTGTAATCCCGGCACTTTAGGAGGCCGAGGCAGGAGGACTGCTTGAGCCCAGGAGCCTGAGACCAACCTGGACCACCTAATGAGACCCCATCACTACAAAAAAAAATTAGCCAGGCATGGTGGCTCACACCTGTAGTGGCAGTAACTCAAGAGATTGAGAGGAGGATCACCTGAGCCCAGGAGGTTGAGGCTGCGGTGAACCATGATCATGCCATTACACTGCTGCCTGGGTAACAGAGTGACATTCCAACTACAAAAAAAAAATGAATGTTGACTTGTGGAATTTTATTATCCTTCGATAAGGCTGTCCAAAAATTTACCCCAAAACTTACTTATTAGAATTATCATTGTTTTCATATAATTATTCTTTACTTCCATTAGCAACAACATCTGTAATTATTTAAAATTAAAACTTCAGACCGGGCGCGGTGGCTCACACCTGTAATCTCAGCACTTTGGGAGGCAGTTATGAGAGGACTGCTTGAGTCTTGGGGTTTGAGAGCAGTCTGGGCAATTTGGCGAGATTTCGTCTCTACAATAAATCAAAAAATTAGCCAGGTGTGGAGGTGGATGCCTGTGGTTCCAGTTACTTGGAAGGCTGAAGCAGAAGGATCACCTGAGCTCAGCAGGTCCAGGCTGTGGTGGCCATGAGCGTGCCACTGTACTTCAGACTGGGAGACAGAGTAAGATTCTAACTCAAAAAAAAAAAAAAAATTAAATCTTCAGATATCTTTCTCTTGAAACAAAATATACAATGTAATTGCTGGGCATGGTGGCTCATACCTGTAATCCCAGCACTTTGGGAAGCAGAGGCGAGAGGATTACCTGAACCCATGGGTTCAAGACCAGCCTGGGCAACATGGCAAGACCTCGTCTCCACAATAAATTAAAAAATTAGTGACCCACACCTGATCACCAAGAAACTGGTGATCCACACCTGTAATTCCGGCTATGTGGAATGCTGAGGCAGAAGGATTGCCTGAGCCCAGCAGGTCAAGGCTGTGGTGGCTGCAAGCATGCCACTGCACTCCAGCCTGGGTGACAGACTCCAACTCACAGCAAAACAATATAATCAGAGACTGATTTACAGTAAGTATATGATGGAATTTTTGTTTTTTAAATTAAGCTGCAGTGACTAAATCTAGTTCCTGTGGTCATTTGAAAGCTATTTGCAAGCCGGGCTCAGTGGCTCAGCCTTTGGGAGGCTGAGGTGAGTGGATTGCCTGAGCCGACAGGTTCAAGACCTGCCTGGACAACTTGGCAAGACCTCATCCCTGCAATAAATCAAAAATGAGCCGGGCATGGTAGCGTGCGCCTCTAGTTCCAGCTACTTGGAAGGCAGAGGCGGAAGGATCGCCGGAGCCCAGCGAGTTGAGGCTGCGGTGGCCGGGAGCGGCCACTGCCCTCCGGTCTGGGTGACAGAGTGAGACTCCAAAGAAAGCTATTTGCAGGAAAGAGAACTATATTTTTAAAATAACAATATATTTTATCTACTAAACAAAAAAATGACCAATAGACTTAAAAAGTAATGGATATTAATTTATAAATTTTGAATTTTAGAAAAGTATCTTAAATACCCTTTTAAAAAACATGCCTTTTCCATAAAATAGAAGCAGTTTTAAAATTAACTTTAGGCCGGGCATGATCGCTTATGCCTGTAATCCCAGTGCTTTGGGAGACTGAAGGGAGAGAATAAGCCTCAGTGTTCGAGAACAGTGTGGACAACATAACAAGATTCCATTTCTACAAAAAAGTTTAAAAAATTAACCAGCCATGGTGGCATGCACCTGTGATCCCAGCTACTCAGGAGGCTGAGGCAGAAGGATCGTCTGAGCTCAGGAGGTCATGATGAGTTGTGATCATGTCATTGCACTCCAGCCTGGGCGCCAGAGTGAGACCCTGACTCAAAAAAATAAATAAATAAAAACAAGAAGAAGAAATAACAAAGCCATCCTATAAAACTGTAGTCTAGCTGAACATGGCGGCCGACGCCTGTAACCTCAGCACTTTGGGAGGCAGAGGCAAGAGGATTGCCTGAGCCCAGGGGTTCGAGACCAGCCTGGGCAACTTGGCGAGACCTTCTCTCTACAATAAATCAAAAAGCAAGCTGGGTGTGGTAGCATGAATTTAGTCCCAGCTAATCGGGAGGCTAAGGCCCAAGGATCACCTGAGCCCAGCCGGTTGAGGCTACAGTGGCTGTGAGCATGCCACTGGATTCCAGCCTGGGCAACAGAGTGAGACCCTGATTCAAAAAAAAAAAAATGGAAGTCCAAGAAGCAAAAGATAAAGTAATCAACAAGAGACTTGGGGATTCTCAGCTCTTAAATTTATTCATTCCAGTTCTTATATTTATCGGTCAACCCTGTGCTTATGATGACAGATGGATTAAAGGTAAAACAGTCATCTTCACACAATGCATGGTATGTACCGGGCATCGGCTCCATTTACTTTCTTTCTAATCCTCACAACCACCCTGCAAGCTATGTATTGTTGTCTGCTGTGAAAGTTGCAGATACCAGGATGAAATCACTTTTGTCAGATTCACACAAAATGGGCCTGGGAAAGCACAAAGCAGGGTGGGGCTCGTGCTTACATGTCTGAGATTGGAACCTTCTAAAAACGCTTCCCACAAGAAACCCCTTCCCGCAGCTCCTATTTTGCATGCCTCACACAGTTTGCACCTAGATACCTCCTCCTCTGAAGTCAATCCCTCCCCATTCCTTAGGACAGCGGCAATTCCAACAGGGTAAGATTTAGCTGGAAAGAACACTTGCCCTGTAAGGACATTTCTCCACCCATGAACTGACAACTCTGGCTTCTAGTTTTCAGAGCCAATGAATTCTGTTTCATTTATTTATTTAGAGACAGGGTCTCGTTCTGTCACACAGGCTGGAGTGCAGTGATGGGATCTGGGCTCACTGCGGTCTCCACTCCCTCCACTCATGCAGCCGTTCTGTATGAGCCTCCCAAGTAGCTGGGACTACAGGCACACAGCTACTCTTTTGATTTTGTGTACACATGGGGTCTTGCTGTGTTGCCCAGGTTGGTCTAAAACTCCTGGCCTCAAGTAAGCCTCCTGCCTCAGTCTCCTGAAGTACTAGGATTACAAGCGTAAGTCGCCACGCCTGGCCAATGAACTCTGATTCTAAGACGCTTATGCGACCTTCTCCCTTTAGCCAGTAAAAGTTTCCCTTTACCCTTACTGATTTATTCTTTACCCGCATCTGATTTATCATTAGATAAATCTGTTGATAAAACAGATAAATTTGCCAAAGTGCATCCCAAATTCTAGTCCTCTTTCTTTTAGTCTCAAATAAATTTGGCGTATTTGGAGATATTTTTCTCTAACAACGTTTGTCTTAGGTTGGCACTGCGTTTTACATACAGACTCGGGCAGGGGCAGTAACTTGGTAAGGGTCTGGTGGTCAGGTAGCCGCAGGTTCAAGCCTGGCTCTGGCTATCTCCTTGTTTGTATCAGCAGGCCTGAGTTCCTGCCACTCTAGGGCTGGTTGCTGGACTGAGGCCTCCTCTCCCTGTGCTCAGGGCCTTACCCTCTGCCCTACGTCAAAGAAGGTAGAGCGGGCCGTTCCAGACAGGATGTGCAGCTCTAGTTGGTGCCAGTCATGTGATAACGTGCGACTGTGTATAACCCAGCCACTTTAACCACGTGGCCCTGAGGCAGTGAAACCTGAGCTGAGACCAGGAGCTTGTGTTCCAGCCAGGGCTGATGTTTAGCGGGGACATACACGCAGGGGGCCTGGTCAGCACCGTGTAGGACTGGCTGGGTGTCTGTTTTAGTGGGTTGAGGAGACAACTGTCAAATGATTGAACCATTCTGAACCATTCTATGCCTATCTCATCTGTTTGTCAGGAAGAAGCTCTTTCTCTCTTCTCTTCCTCCGTCACTTCTTCCTCGCCTCAACCTCTCACTTTTTCTTTTCAGCTACAAAAGTCATATGTATTTGGCTGCAAAAATTTAAACAAGATAGCAGTGAACAAAATAAATGTGAAAATCCTTCTCCTCTTTGCTCCCTGACAAACCCAGATCCAGAGGTATCTGTTGTTTGGGTTATATCTTTTCATATGTTTTTCTTTTTTTTTTTTTTTTGAGTTGGCGTTTCACTCCGTCGCCCAGACTGGAGTGCAGTGGCCGCTCGCGGCCACCGCAGCCTCGACCTGCTGGGCTCCGGCGATCCTTCCGCCTCAGCCTTCCTGGTAGCCGGAATTACAGGCACGCGCTACCACACCCGGCTGATTTTTTGCTTTATTGTAGAGATGAGGTCTCGCGGCCCAGGCGGGTCTCGAACCCGCGGGCTCAGGCAATCCACTCACCTTAGCCTCCCAAGGCGCGGGCATGAGTTTTTCTATATATTTTCAAACAAGTCCATATATTTTGGGTAGTTTTAAGCTTTTTTTGGTGGGGGGTGGTCAGTCTCATCCTGACGCCCAGGCTAGAGTGCAGTGGCACGATCACGGCTACCGTAGCCTCGACCAGCTGGACTCAGGTGATCCTTCCGCCTCAGTCTTCCAAGTAGCTGAAGCTACAGGCGTGTACCACCATACTTGGTTAATTTTTTTTCAATATATTGTAGAGATGAGGTCGTGCTATATTGCCCAGACTGGTCTCAAACCCCCAGGCTCAGGCAATCCCCCCCAAGGTGCTGGGATTACAAGCGTGAGCCACCACACGCAGCTGGTTTTAAACATTTTTAAAGGTCTACACTACACTTGTTATTGTGCATATATTTTTTCCACTGAACATATCTTAGATACAGAAGTTCCAGGAACATGGCTCCACAGAAACACATTCTGCCAAATCTAGCGTGTAGGGACATTTGCAGGACGGATCACAGGTCTCCTCAACGAATACGTGACAATAAAAAAAGAGATGGAGAAGGAGAAGTTAAAAATCTTAAGAGACACATCAGTTAAGTGTAATAATTCACAGGTCTTGTTTGGATCTTGATTCAAATTAACCACCAGTCAAGAAAGGCAGGAATATGGACATCTGAACACGCATTAGGATATTTGAGGACGCTAAGGGGTTATTGTTCATCTTTTTTCAGAGAGGCGATGATATTGTAGTTGTTTTTAAAATGCTTTTTGTTTTTTTGAGTTGGAGTCTCACTTTGTCGCCCAGGCTGGAGTGCAGTGGCATACTCACGGCCACCCCAGCATCGGCCTGCTGTGTTCAGATGATCCTTCCGCCTCAGCCTTTCAAGTAGCTGGGAGTACAGGCATGTACCACCACGCCCGGCTAATTTTTTGATTTATTGTCGAGATGAGGTCTTGCCAAGTTGCCCAGGCCGGTCTTGAACCCGTGAGCTCAGGCAATCCTCTCACCTCAGCCTCCCAAAGTGCTGGGATTAGAGGCGTAGGCCATCACACCGGGCCTGAAATACATTCTTAATTCAGAGTTATATTTCAGACTACTAACAAATGATATTATCTGATATCTGGGATTGGCTTTTAAATAATCTGGTTATGATTATTATTTCCAGGAGGAAATGTGGGCACAAGATATATGAAATATAACTTGGCCATGTGTTGCCAAGTGTTCATCATACTATTCTCTCTTTGTGTGAAATTTTCCACAGTGAAAGTTTAAAAACGTGTTAAAGGAATGATTCTGTATTCAGTAGAAACAGAGAAAGTCATGTTGAAGATGCTAGTAAATATAGCACTGAAAATAATTAAAATATACCTCCTTTTCTAAGTAGGGAGCTAAAGCCCGCTGCAATAATAAAAACTCTTTCTGAGGTTCTAGAATAAGACATTAGTGTTTGGTAGATATCTAGCAGTCCACGAAATTATTTGTAATAACATTTCGAACATTGACATTTACTTTCCAACTTCCTTCCTGTACCCTTTTATACCATCCCTATGCAAATTATACTTACTTATTGAGGCAGTTCATGAAAATGCTACTTGGCAAAACCTATCTTAGTATTTGGGATAATAAACCAACACTATTGTTTTACATTTACAGAATCCAAACTTTTCACAGTGTAATCAGGCCTTTCCCGCTTGAATAAATTCTGGAGTGGTCCAATTTTGGCTAGTGAATGATCACGTGCTACTTCAGACACGTGGCTACTTCAGACACGTGGCTCTTCGGGGTGCAGTGGCTCAGGCCTGGAATCCCAGCGACTCAGGAGCTGAGGCGGGAGGATCACTTGAGCCCAGGAGTTCCAGGCTGCAGTGAGCTATGATCACACCACTGCCACCAGTCTGGAAAACAGAGTGAGACCCTGTCTCTAACTTAAAAAAAAAAAAAGAGTGACTCTTTTGCCTTTACAGAAACTGCGCCAGGTACTGTATGGAGTTCATGCCCGTCATCCCAGCACTTTGGGAAGCCAAAACAGAAGGACCTCTTGAGGCCAGGAGTTCAAGACTCGCCGGAGCAACATAGACTCTGTCTCTACAAAAAACCAAAAACAAATAAACAAAAAAGAAACTGAAAATTTGAAGCAGAAAATATTTATCTACTTACTTGGGGAACCACTTGGCATGTTCCTTCCAAGGATCATCGCCTTCTTCCCAGTTTCCTAAACACCCACCGCAGGAAAAACACCACACAGTGTCCCTGTTACCTACATGGGAAGGAAAACATTGAGATTGCCCAGAAATGGCACCCGAGGGTGTGGCTTGGCGTTGACGTTTTGTGCAGGACCAAGACGCGTGGTTCGCTCATGACCTCATCTGGCTGCGTCTCCACCCACAGTCCCGCTGCCCCAGATGACCACTTCCTGCGCCCCAGGTCTCAGCCATGGCCACGCTTACAGACACAAGCCCAGGCTGTGGAACTCCACACGCCTCCCTCAGTGGCTTCCAGAGCTGGCATTTTGCTCCTGGAGCCCTCAGGGCCAAAGTGATGGGAAGCAAACGCCAGGACCAGCTGAAGTCTGCACAAGGAGAAGACCTGCATTTCTGCTTTGCCGTGACATTTTGGTAAGCACACAGGCACATTTCTTAACTCTTTGAGCCTCGTGACCTCAGGTGTGTAATGGGGGAAAGGGGGAAAACTTGTTGGATTAGAATTAGTATTCAATCTATGCCTTGCATAAAGTTGGCACAGTACTCAGCAAATGGTAGCTGTTACAATTCTCATTTACGTCATATCTATGGCATAGCTAGCATAACTCAAACAAAGTGCAACTTTCTGAAATGCAGTTTGCCCTACATAGAGGAGTCTGATCTAAGATTAAAACAAGCAATGCTGGGTGCAGTGGCTCACACCTGTAGTGCCAGCACTTTGGGAGGCTGAGGTGAGAGGATTGCTTAAAGCCAGGAGTTTGAGACCAGCCTGGGCAACAAAGTGAGCCTCATCTCTACAAAATAAAAAAAAAGGGTAAAACCCAATACTGTAGCAATTAAAAGAAGAATCAAACTGGGTGCAGTGATTTACTGTAGCAATTAAAAGAAGAATCAAACTGGGTGCACTTTGGGAGGCCGAGGTGGGAAGATCACTTGAGCCCAGGAGTTAGAACCAGCCTACGCAACACAGCAAGATTTCATCTCTACTTCTGCTCCCCCCAAATTAGCTGGGCATGGTGGCACAGGCCTGTAGTCTCAGCTACTCAGGAGGCTGAGGCAGGAGGTAGTGAATTGTGATCATGCCACTGCACTCCAGCCTGGGTGACAGAATGAGACCCCGACTTAAAAAGAAGAATCAAAGAAAGATTATGCAAGCACAGTAGCAGAGGGGTGTGTCAGGAGACTGGGATCAGACTGACCTCAGAATTTATGTTCAGGCCTTAAGAATACAGCCGCTGGCTGGGCTCGGTGGCTCAGCCTGTCATCCCAGCACTTTGGGAGGCCAAGGCGAGTGGACTGCCTGAGCCCGCGGGTTCGAGTCCAGCCCGGGCAACTTGGTGAGACCTTGTCACTTCAATAAATTAAAAAAAATTAGTTGGGCCTGGCAGTGCACACCTATAGTTACAGCTACTTGGGTGGCTGAGGCAGAAGAATCGCCAGAGCCCAGCAGGTCGGCGCTGGGTGGCCGTGAGCATGCCTGCATTCCAGCCTGGGCGAAGGAGTGAGACTCCAACTCAAAAGTAAATAAATTAATTTAGTAAGTAAGCCAGTATTTCCAAAAGTTCAAGTTGAAAGAAAAGCAACTTTCTCGTTTTTTATACATTTGGCAAATGAACATGGGCTGAACGAAGCAAAAATACAGCAAAAATAAAATGACTGAGGTGGAATTTTAGCAAAATAGGCCTTGCAGCTAACCTAACACTTTTAACAACTGCAGAAAGGTGAACAAGATGCAGCACAAGCAACTGGAAAACGGAATCTCCACTTAAAGCTCCAGAGAAGTGCTCCCGAGCGTGATTCCTGGTTACCTGTGAAGACAAAGCCGGCAGCTGAGAGCGCATGTGAGGATACTCCTTGGGCATAAAATGGCCAGTTTCTGAAGGAGTCGAGTCTGGCCTGCTCCTCTTGGTACTGTCCTCGGTCCCGTGTCGGCTGGCTCTCCAGGTTCTTCACCCTGATGTCGTATTTGGCAATGTTGCCGACATCCTTGTTCAGAAGGAACTCACAGTCGGGCTGTAGCTTCTTGTGGTCTTCCACGGGGAGCTGCTTGAGCTTGGTGGCAAAGAGGATCAAGCTGCAGCAGAAGCACTGAACCCCAGATTTCACCCCCGTGAAGTAAAACCCAGCTGCTGCCATCTCCTGCGGAGTCCATGAGCTATACGGCTTGTAGGCCACGAAGGTCTTCAACCTTTGGGCTTCGCTGCGCATCCGTGAGTTATAGCCTTTCTGCATCTTTGCTCGGTCTCTCTCCTCCTCTTCTTCATTGTCTTTTTGAAACTGAGCTATATCTACGCCCAGAAGAGCAGACATCTCTGAGTGGAGAGCAGGGTCAGGGTCATACTGGGAAATCCTCGCGTCAGAGGCCTTCCCCTGGGTGGCCATGTTCTGAAAAGGGAAAGCAAAGCGGGTTGATCCGTTTTACAGTCATGTTTTTCTCAGAAAGAGTATTTCCTACGGTTCCCGAAGATGGCAAGAATTGAAGGAAAGCCTGGATTTTCAAAGCAAAGGAGGAAATTTTGTAGGAAATTATGAAACATCGGTATTCATCTACTTCATCAAGCTACAGATATTTACTAAGCACCTACTGTATATCAAGCACCCCGCGAGGCACAGAGGATCAAGCAACACACAAGACATACGCGGACCGGACTCCATTCGTGAAGCTTCCAAATATCAATTATGGAGACCATGTGGTAACATGGACATATATTTACCATTTATGTTAAGGAAAAATATATATAAAAAATATAAAGCCTGGCGCAATGATTTGATACAATCACTCAGTTTTTAAAAATCTTTATTTGACCAGGTGTGATGGCTCACGTCTGTAGTCCTAGCACTTTGGGAGGCTGAGGCGAGAGGATAGATTGATTCCAGGAGTTTGAGACCAGCCTGGGCAACATAGCAAGACTCATTTCTACAAAAAAAAAAAAATCAGTCGAGTGTGGTGGTGTGCCCCTGTAGTTCCAGCTACTCGGGAGACTGAGGCAGAAGGACTACCTGAACCCAGGAGGTTCAGGCTGCAATGAGCCATGATCGTGCCACTGCAATCCAGCCTGGGTGACAGGGTGAGATACCAACTCAACAAATAAACAAATCAATAAAAATCATTATTTTAACTGTGTTTACTGTCTAGACTTGGTGCTCCATGTCAAAGTTCCAGATGGTCCACCATAATTATAGTTATGGGTGCTATACATTTTATTTTAAAAAGTCGTTTCTCTTAACTTAAAATTGTAAGACATTGTCCCATTAATACATGTATTTCTACAATGTACTCCTTTTTGGGGGGTGCGATTAGGGTCTTACGCTGTCACCCAGGCTAGAATGTAGTGACACAATCACAGCTTGCTGCAGCTTTGACCTCCTGGGCTCAGGCAATCCTTCCACCTCAGCCTTCTGAGCAGCTTGGACAACCAGTGTGTGCCACAGTACCCTGCTACTTTTTACATTTTTGTAGAGAAAAGGTCTCGCTATGTTGCCCAGGCTGGTCTCAAACTCCTGAGCTCAAGCAATCCTCCTGTCTCGGCCTCCCAAAGTGCTGGGATTACAGGTGTGAACCACCACACCCGGATGGCAGTGTACTCCCTCTTGGCCTCATTACGCCCCTAACATAGGACACTCAGACTGTTAACTATTTTTCTCTTCAGGAACAAAGATGAATTGAGTATCCTGAAACAAAATCTTTTTTCCAGTCTTTATTATTTCCTAAGGGTAAAATCTGAAAAAACAAAGCACTGAGTCAAACTATATTCATCTTTCTAAGAATTTTTCCCTGTCTTGAGTTTTCAGATCTCAAAATAATTTTATGCCTTTCCATAACAGAAGCAGTCTGTTATTAAAGCCCAGTAGTGGTCAATGATTGTTTTTCAAAGGACATGGAGCTGTCAGAAGCCTCAGGAAAATTTCTAGTCCAAAATTCCCATGGTCATCCCTGTGTGGCAGTTGCGGGCTTTGGCAGGAATTTACAGTCAGCACAAGCAGGTTGCTGAAACCTCTAACGTCACCTGAATATCGTACGGCCCCAAAGGAATCAGCTAGACAATGACTCTTTGAGGTTACCAAAGAGTCTGCCATTATTCAAAATTCTTTTTTTTAGGGGAGTTGTTTTTTAAAGGCAGGGTCTCCTTCTGTTGCCGGGACTGGAGTGCCGTGGCACAGTCGTGGCTACTGCAACCTTGACCTCCTGGGCTCAAGGGATCTTCCCACCTCAGCCTCCTGAGTAGCTGGAACTACAGGCACACACCAGCAAGCCTGGGTTTTTTTTTTTGGTAGAGACAGGGTCTTATTATGCTGCCTAGGCTAAAATTCCATGTAAATTTAGCTTTCTCCCTAATTGTAACTTTGAGAATACAGGTTTAAAAAGTGGCATATGATTTTGATTAGCCAGCATTTAAAATTCTGTCTTAGCTGGATATTTGGATTGAGAGGGCCACATGATATCATCAATGTAATGAAACAGTACTTTTCAGTTAAATCAGATCTGGGGTTTTTTTCGTTATGTTGTAGGAAAAAGAATTTACATATCCTTGTGGGAATACCTTGGATGTACATTGGTGCCCTTTCCACACAAATGCAAACTGGCTTTTATTTTCTTCTGAAATAGGAATCAAAAAGAAAGAAAGCATCTGTGTGATAGTGCGCTCCTGTAGCCCCAGCTATTTGGGGGGCTGAGGAGAGGAGACCCCTTGAGCCCAAGAGTTGAGGCCAGCTGGGGAAACACAGTGAGTCACCTGTTCTCAAAAAAAAAAACAACAAAAAAACAAAAAAAACAACCGTATCAAGTATGACCGAAGCTATTGGAGACGCCACTTTATCACATCCTCTGTCGTTTACAAGTAACTTCCCGTATCCATCAGCTTTCATCACAGGCCATACCAGACTTTTAAACAAAGAAATCATCATCACTAGAACATCTGCATCTAACAAGTCTTTAATTAGGGCTGAATCTCTTGACATCTCGCAAATATCCCATATCGTTCTAAATTAAATATTCGAATAGGCTTAGGTAATCTTAAAGGTTACCACCAGGCATCGCCAATTAAAAGAAAAGAAAAGAACAGATTTTCATGAAGTGTCTTTCCTCAGAGGCGTCTCCATTCAGATATCACATCCATTCCAAAAAGACATCGGGGAGAGATGACAGCCATTGAAAGGGGGAAGTCAAAACGGAGTAACTTCGGCTAAAGAACAGCCATTTTAGCATTGCTTAAGCTTTGTCATGCTCTGCTAACTGTGTGTTCTACTCCCCACCTCCTAATCATTAGCCAAGGACAGAACCAGCTTTCTGGAGGGAGCTACTGGTAATTGCTTTCTAAGTCCCTAAGCATGTCCTGTACTGATGGCCTCTCTATTCTAGGCATTTGCTTTCCAGCTATACAAGACCAAGCGGACCTAATCTGCCGTATTCAGCCTTCCACGACAACCCACGAGCCCACCACCTGGAGTCACGAGACCGATTGCCCTGACAGCGCCCAGGACACGAGACCGGTGTTGCCCAAACTCAGGAATGCAGCTGCTGGAAATGTTTTGGGACCCTGCCTCCTTGTCAAAACTTTAAAAGCCCTCCTTTCTCAACCCCCTTGCCACACTGCTCTTAGCTGCGTCGGCCCCATTTAGAGCCTGTTCTAAGTGTGAAGAAACTCTTTTTCTTTGCCTTTGCAAATATTTGCTTTATTCACACGGCACCGGCTCACCCTGCCTCGGTTTACCCTAAGAGCCATTATGCAAAGTTTTCTCTCATAAATTCCTACTTGAAGTCATCTTTTGCTTTTTAAATAATACCTTTATTGAAACATACTTTACACATCATAACATCAGCCCATTTAAAATGTACAACTCAATCGACCTTAGCGTATTCACAGCCTTGTGCAACTTTCACCGTGATCCGTTTTAGAACATTTTCATCACCCCAGAAGGAAACACTTTGCTCATCAGCAACTGCTGTTTCCCCTAATCCTCCGAGCCCTAGGAAACCACTATGTTACTTTCTGTTTCTGTAGATGATTTGCTTATTCTGGACATTTCTTGTCAATTGAATCATACAATAGGTGGTCCTTTGTGTCTGGCGGTTTTCGCGTAGCAAAATGTTTTCAAGGTTCATCCGTGTTATGGCATGTATGGCACTTGATATTCCTTCTCATTGTCAAATAATATTCTGCTATATCGACATACCACATTTTATTGCCATATACCACATTTTATTGATTCATTCATCAAACTAGTTGATGGGCATTTGGGTTGACACTTTGGCTTTATGGATAATGCTGCCAAGGACATTCATGCACGAGTTTTTGCATGGATATTTTTCACTCTTTTTTTTTTTTTCTGAGTTGGAGTCTCACTCTGTCGCCAGGTTGGAGTGCAGAGGCACGCTCATGGCCACTGCAGCCTCGACCCGCTGGGCTCAGGCGATCCTTGTACCTCAGCCTTCCAAGTAGCCAGAACTACAGGTATGCGCTACCACATCCGGCTCATTTTTTGATTTATGGTAGAGATGAGGTCTCACCATGTTGCCTAGGCTGGTCTCGAACTCCTGGGTTCAGGTAGTTCTCTTGCCTCGGTCTCCCAATGTGCTGGAATTACAGGCTTGGGCCACGGAGCCCGGCCTTGGCCGTCCTTTTCTTTACATCACACTGCTTTAAAGCAACTACTGTGCATTCTGCTTTCCTGTCGTCATGAAGATTTGTTCATGTTCATTCAGCAAGGCTAGTTTGCATCAGAAACCTACTGTGACCATTTCACCATTGGGGGAAGAAGACAGACCACGTAACCATTACAACGGATCATCTTACAGTGCTACATTGCCATTTTGGTAGTCATTTCACTTATTTCCTCACACCATTTCTTTTTTTTTTTTTTGAGTTGGAGTCTCACTCTGTCGCCCAGACTGGAGTGCAGTGGCCACTCCCGGCCACCGCAGCCTCGACCTGCTGGGCTCCGGCGATCCTTCCGCCTCAGCCTTCCGAGGAGCTGGAACTACAGGTGTGCACTACCTCACCCGGCTAATTTTTTGATTTATTGTAGAGATGAGGTCTCGCCAAGTTGCCCGGGCGGGTCTCAAACCCGCGGGCTCAGGCAATCCACTCACCTCAGCCTCCGAAGGCCCGAGATTACAGGCTGAGCCACTGAGCCCATCTCAAAAAATTTTTAAAAACTAGTCAGGTGTGGTAGTGCATGCCAGTAGTCCCAGCTACTCAGGAGGCTGGGGCGAAAGGATCACCTGAGCCCAGGAGGTAAAGGGTGTAGTGAGCCGAGATCGTGCACTGCCCTCTAGCCTGGGCAATAGAGTGAGGCCCTGACTCAAAAAAAAAAAATTATAGGGCAATTCCTTTGGATCCCCTCCCACTGTGGGAGGCTCTCTGTCCTCTCAATAAATGGTG